AGCAAACGACTTGATGGTAAAACAGTTATCATTACTGGAGCCAATACAGGAATCGGCAAGGAGACAGCCGTGGATTTGGCCCAACGGGGAGCTCGCGTGATCATCGCATGCAGAGATGTACATCGTGCAAATCTTGCTTTAAAGGATATCCAAGATCGCTCTGGCAGTAAACAAGTATATTTCGAGCAGCTTGACCTTGCCTCTTTCAAGTCTATCCGTGATTTTGTGGAAAGAATTAAGAAAAATGAACCAAAATTGCATATTTTGATCAACAACGCTGCCACCGCGTATTCTCCTTTCAAGACAGAAGATGGTTTTCAAATGGAGTTTGGTGTGAATCATCTTGGACCCTTCCTACTGACAAACTTGCTTCTTGACCTACTGAAGAAATCAGCCCCCAGCCGTGTTGTAAACTTATCGTCCTCTGCACACACTTATTCCAAAGAATTCAGATTCGAGGATATCAACAATGAGAAGACCTACAAACCCATGAATGCTTACTCACAAAGTAAACTTGCCAACATATTATTTACAAGGGAGCTAGCCAAACGCCTGGAAGGAACAAGTGTTACAACATACGCAGTCCATCCTGGCATAGTTACTACTGAGTTAGGTAGACGTTTGCCATTGTGGCAGAGAATAATAATGAAATCTGTTGCATGGCTTGTTGCAAAAAATCCTAAACAAGGAGCTCAGACTACACTATACTGTGCAGTATCTGAGGAGCTTGAGGGAGTGAGTGGCAAGTATTATTCTGATTGTGCTGAGAAGCAACCATCTGACTATGTCAAAGATGATCATGCTGCCAAGAAGTTATGGGATGCAAGTGTTGAATTTGTTGGGTTGTAATTTGATTAAAGCAGTCCTTAGTGCTAATTGTCCTAAATGTCACTTTCAAAGTCACGCTAGTCGATCTGTCACCACATTGGTACATCTTTAGTGGCTTGATCGGTTTTTGTATTTGTTGTATTACGCCGTATGATTTGCTTACACATTAGACATATGAACGTTACAATATTCTCAAACATTACTCATCTATGAAATGATTTTAAGTGATTCTTCAATTATTCATATAACCAGTCATGCAAATTGTTAATACACAATAGTGTCAATAGTCGATGAGTACCGAACTAGAAATAGCTGTATACCGTAAAAACTATTAGTAGAAGCTTGCCTGTATATAAATGTAGTTCAGATGTGTGCTACAGAGAGTAATTTTACAATAAAGTATTGAAAGACTCAAATATTGAGTTTTATCCTTACGTACGCACATCACTTACGAGCTCTGTTATATACATGAGGTATTTCAGAAAAAGTACTGAATACTAAGAAACTGCATGGAGCATTGCAAATACACTTTGCATACTCCGTTACATAAGTATTGTTAGCTGCATTACTACAGTTAAGGACAATAATTCTAATTTTTTTAAATTACTTGAATTGAAGTCCTTGACTAATTGTAGCTGGTATGGTAACTCCGAAACAATCTGGGGGCGCTGATAGGCTATCACTTTTGTGTCGCGATTATTAAAGGTTGTGAAGACATCGCTCGGTTGCAGAAAATCGGACCTGGAAAATCGCCGATTTCGCAACGCGGTTTATGTCAATGCATTTTTTTATGTGGTGATTTCGGTATGAAATATCGCATTCAATAAGAATATCCAAAAGTAACGGTTACAGATAATTGATTTTTATCAGTGCTAGCTTTCAAAGGTGAAAACCAGCAATTTGAGGCATGACTGCTCCCTAAAATAAAACCCCCTTTAATGAATCTGGCGGTCTTGAAATACGCTTGCCTTATCAGTATTTAATTTTATTCTGCAGTATGACTATTCAACAGGAAATTATGTGGTTATTGCTTGAATATCATTATATCTATCAACAAAAAGTCGGGTTTACTCAAGCGATATGATCTCGTGTCTTATTATGGTAAATAGTTTAGCGAGGTAAGGGTGAGACCAGAGTTCTCTAGGATGAGGCAATTTATAGTGCTGTTTTCTCACCATAAACTGAGCATATGTCACGCATGCTATACTCGCAATGCTTATTGGGATATTTATTTCAGAGCAAACATGGCTATTGCAGTGTTCATCGTTGTTGCAGTTGCTGTACTTTTATACTTTGTTAGACAGTACTGTAATGGTGGTGTTTTTAATAGCAGCAAACGACTTGATGGTAAAACAGTTATCATTACTGGAGCCAATACAGGAATCGGCAAGGAGACAGCCGTGGATTTGGCCCAACGGGGAGCTCGCGTGATCATCGCATGCAGAGATGTACATCGTGCAAATCTTGCTTTAAAGGATATCCAAGATCGCTCTGGCAGTAAACAAGTATATTTCGAGCAGCT